ATTTTCAAAACCTGGCCTACTCTAAAACGGCAGAAAGATCAAAGCCAAAAATCTGAACAAGTTGTGTTTCAAATTTTAGGTTGATATCTCAAAAAATGAGCTTTCAGTAAGATTTTGTTTGAGCGCAGTACCAAACTTTTTCACTAGGGCACAATCAGACTCCATTACTGCCCATATAAGGGCGTCTGCATTTCCATTCGTGTTTTGAGCGATATGAACCATTATTTTCACAATTTTCATACAATTTCTGAAGTAGAGATCCTATTCAGAAGTAGCATGGGAAGTTTGGATTCAGATTTTGAAATGAATTGAACCTCTAAGAAACACATACAAAGAACACGCATGTAAGTCATAGCTCACTGCCACGTCACAAATGGTGAATTTATTATTTTTTTCTTGACATTTCAAACTTTTCAGACCTTTTTTTTCCAAAATAATTGAATGGATTCTATCTTTTGAACTTTTGGCATGAAAACAAACTGAGGTATCTACCATTTTTTCTTGATTTTTCATGTTTACTGCTATTTTAAAATAAAGGTCTGAACACGCCTTATGAGTACGAAAATATTCTTGTTGCATATTGATAAATTATGGCTCCTCTGTAATATATTTTGAAAATCAGTCACCAAATATGGAAACTAGAGATTGTAAGCTTTCAAATGATATATAGTTTGTCAATATTATTTAATGTATTTACTAAGATATTATTGTTTTAAAAATATAGTGGCAAACGTCCCACCTGTGGGACGGTGACAGTTAAGTGGATAATTATATATATATATATATATATATATATATATATATATGTGTGTTTGCAGAAATGTATTAATGAAATAAAAGGCATTTAAGTGTACTAAAGACACATAAAGTAGAGTGCTTGAAGAGACACTGACTGTTTACACACTTAAATGCACTTTTAAGTACTTTGAACAATGCCAAATTAAAAGTACATCAAGTTATTCAATTTACAAAATTCTTGTGTAGAAGTAATGTTACACTTTTTTAATGTGTTGACATACTAAAGATAGGGTTGCCACCCGTCCCTTAAAATACGGAATAGTCCCGTATTTGTGAAAAAAAAACAGCGCGTCCCGTTTTGAATCAATACGGGACGCGATTTGTCCCGTATTTCCGAACGCATGATCCCATGCAAATCATGCCACCCGCATTCTGTGAAGACTCGTCCTATTCTACCCTTGATTGGGTAATACTCGCTGCCATTATTGGTTTGATTGGTTTGTTTAATACCATCAGGATCAGGGCCAATCAAAGTCAGAAGAGGGCGGGTCTTTTGGCAGAGAGTTTGGCCACCTCTGAAACGAAAGCGTATGCAAAAGTAATGACGAGAGCGAGAGAGATATTTAATACATATTTAATAATAAAATGTGAATGTTATGGAGAAAATAACTTATGCTTAACAAACCTAGAGAGTTTCTTCCTTAAATAGGCTACTATAGAATTAACAATAGGTCTGAGTACAGATTTTCTTACCAATAATACAAATAGTCATATCAACGGACATGATTTTACATAGACCCACACATAGTTGAATAAACAAATAAGGATTTTACAGTTAGGATAATACTAATAGTAATTATAGCCTAATGAAATCAATTTCACAAGAAGTAGTAGTAGTTAATTTGCACGTGATTGCATTTTAGTGTCTTTGTTTCCATGACAAGTCTAGAGAACATGCAACTCAAAGCAGCATTTCGTGCTTTTTTTGGAAAATAAATATATAATATTTCATACATTTGTCAGAGCTTGGTAGAGAGGTAACTATTATATTTATTATAGTTATAATTTATAATACATTATAATTTGTATTATTAAATATGAATCATATGCATACTAAATTATGATCCTATCTGTAATACACACTTTATGGCAATTGAAAGAAAGTTTTAAAAGTGTTACATTATTTAAATAAAAATTAGACAAACAATTACTTAACAATTTCAAATTCAAAATCAATTTAAGTAGTAAATAATAACAATAAAAATATCCCATACATGCAGAATTGTCAAAAACATGATTACTAGTTCAGTAATCCCTAACATATACAGAAGAGTTTTATTAAGTAAAATAATAAAATGTAAAATAATAATATAAAATGTTTTCTGTTGCAAGCTCACACACTTGATCTCATGTTTTCTCGTGGTTTATTGTTGAGCTGTCAAGTTGTCATGTTGAATTAATCAGTTCCATACCCTTGAGTGGGGCGGGGGGATGTAATGAATACACATTTTTTTTTATTTCATTTAATTATTTATTTATCTCGTGTATGGGTGTCCCTTATTTTGCCTTACTGAAGGTGGCAACCCCAACTAAAGCACATGTAAAGTACTTTTTAATTTTAAATGTAGTATGTATTGTGATATATTTCAAGTAATGTATTTTAAGTCATGACACGCTTAAGTTCAACTAAACGCATTAGACATCAATTTAAACAGTAACATTTAGTACAAACTTTTTAAAGTATATTAACCGGTTATAAAAG